GGTCACTGTTTCTTTTGAGGTAGAGAAGCTTCTTAGGTTAAGATAGTCCTATTTGTCTATCTCTGTTTTCACTTGGTTGGCAGTGGTGTGTCGTCTTTGAAGATACCGTTCGCTTCATTGTCGTGGAGGGTTTTGTCAACCTTGTCTTCAATGTACGTTATGGATTCTGGTCTGATGTTGAGGTCTTTAATCCATTTTGATCTTACTTTTGTACATGGTGTTAGGTAGAGATCTGAGCCCACTTCTTTGAATGTAGCTGCAGTTTTGGCAGCAAAATTTGTTAAAGAGGTTTTGTTTGCTCCACTTCACATTCCTTGCTCCCTTGTCAAAGATTAGATGATCATATATTTGAGGGGAGGTGTCAGTATATTCAACCTTGTTCCATTGGTATGCGGCCCTGCCTTTGTTCCAGTACCATGCTGTTTTAATTATTACTGCTTTGTAGTAGAGTTTGAGGTTGGGGACGTTGATTCCTCCCGTTTTCTTTTGCCCAAAAATTGCTCTAGCTATTTGTGGGGGCTTATTATTCCGTATGAATTTCAGGAGTGTTTGCTCCATTTCTTTGAAGAATGTCATGGGTATCCTTATAGGGATAGCATTGAATTTATACAATGCTTTGGGGAGTATTGCCATTTTGACAATGTTAATTCTCCTGATCCATGAGCAGGGGATATCTTTTCATTTTCTTGTGTCCTCTTTTACTTCCTGAAGTAGCGTTTTGTAGTTTTCTTTGTACAGGTCCTTTGCTTCCTTAGTTAAGCTGATTCCTAGGTACTTAATTTTTCTGGGGCACAATTGTGAACGGGATTGTTTTTTTCATGTCACTTTCTTTTCTCTCAGTATTTGCGTATAGGAAAGCCATGGACTTTGGGGTATTGATTTTATAGCCTGCAAATTAACTATACAAGTCTATTGTTTCTAGGAGTTTCTTGGTAGAGGTTTTAGGGTTCTCTAGGTATAGTATCATATCATCTGCGAATAGTGAGAGCTTGATTTCTTCCTTTCCTACTTGAATGCCCTTAATATCTTTTTCTTGCCTATTTGCTACTGCAAGTACCTCCAGTATTATAATGAACAGCAGTGGAGAAAGTAGGAATCCTTGTCTCATCCCTAATCTTAGAAGGAAGGCTTTTAGTTTTTCTCTATTGAGGATGATGCTTGCCATAGGCTTGTGGTAGATGGCTTTAACTATATTGAGAAAAGTCCCTTCTATCCCCATTTTGGAGAGAGATTTCATGATAAACGGGTGCTGGATCTTGTCAAATGCTTTCTTTGCATCTATTGATATGATCATATGGTTTTTATCTTTTCTTTTGTTGATAAGATGGATTATGTTGATCGATTTTCAAATGCTAAACCATCCTTGCACCTCCAGGATGAATCCCACTTGGTTATGGTGTATGATTTTTTTGATGAGTTTTTGAATTCTATTTGCTAGTATTTTGTTGAGAATCTTCACATCTGTGTTCATCAGGGATATCGGCCTGTAGTTTTCATGTTGTTGTGGTGGTATGGAGACTGAGATGTTACACGAGACTGCTGGGTATGGGTAAAGTACCTGCAACCGCGTGAGCGTCCACTGGCCCCAAAATAGGACACGCCCACTTCTGCAGAGGCCACGCCCACTTCTGCAGAGACCCTGCCTAGTACGGGTACCTGGAGAGTATGTGTGTGTGTGTGTGTGTGTGTGTGTGTGTGTGTGTGTGGTGGTGGTGTTGGGGTACAGACCTGGGAGAGGATGAAAACTGGGCGCAGCGTTGGGGACAAAGAGGAAGAAGCACCACTATTGTTTCTTTTAACCCAAGTCATTCCCATAGGTGTGAAGTGGTATGTCTTGGTGATTTACATTTACATAATAGAGGCAATGGACATATTTTTTCATAGGCCTTTTTGCCATTCGTATGTACTCTTTGAAGAAGCCAATTCAAATATTCTGCTGGCTTTCTGACTGGATTGCCTGCTTTTCTGGTAAGTTCTATAAGTTTTCATATGCCATGTTTATTAATCCCTTATCAGATGGATGATGTGCAAATATCTTCTTTCATGTAGAGGCAAGTTCTCTTTCTGCTTTGATGTTTTGCTTTTTGTACGAAAAGGTCAGTCATTTAATCTAGTCCCAGTTGTTTATCTCCACTTTGATTTTTCTTGCTCTTGGGGTTTTGTTCCCAGAGACATCTCCAATGGTGAGGTCATGGAACATTTTGTCTATTACCTTGTGTACATAATGTTGAGGGTGGTGAGGATAGACTGTCGGCCAGCTGTGCCCAGGGATCACTCCAGGTAATGCTTGGGAGAACGATGTGCAGTGCCAGAGATAGAACTGGGGTTGGCAACAGTAAGGCAAGGACCTTACCCCCATACATCCCTTCTGCTCTCAATTTATTTTGCATATCGTTTTAGAGTTTTCCCAGAACTATTTGTTGAAGACACTCTTCTTTCCCCATCATATCGTCTTGGCTCCTTTGTTATAACATCTTAACTTCATTATTTAAAACATTTATTTTAGGTACTATGATTTTACAATACTGTTAATGTTGAGTTTCACGCACGTGACTTTGTGACACATCTTCCACCAGTATCCCCATTTTCCTCTGCCTCCACATTCCCTCTCTGCCCTGGTAAGCTCAGTTCTGAATCCTCTATTATATAAGTATTGATAAACAAAAACACAAAAACAAAAACGGAGTTTACTTCTGAGCTTTCACTTCTGGTCCACTGACTCACGCATCCATTTTTATTCCCTCTACATAGTTTTAGTTACAAGTCATTTGAAGTAACATGATATCTCTGTTTATCTGTTTTCTTCCAAAGGATTATGATAGTTACTTCAGGTCCTTTTATGATGCTATATTTTTGTTTTGTTTTCTTAAGAAATTGCTGCTGGAATTTTATTGGGATTGCATTAAGTCTGTTTATTTGCTAAACAGGTATTTTGACTATATGAATTATCTCTACCCATGTACAGAGAAGGTCTCTTCATCTTTTAACAGTACCTTTTAGTTTTTTTTTTAACTTCTATAGGTCTTTTTACCTCATTTGCTTCATTTCTTCCTTAGTACTTAATTCTTTTGAATACAATTATAAATGAGGTTATTTTCTTAATTTCTCACTGGACTGCAAGTGGAAGTGCAAGAGATTTCTGTATAATGGCTTTGTAACTAGTTACTCTGCTCTACGGATTATTTCTAACAGTTTTGGAGACCTATAAGTGACTCCAAACTTGCTGATATTAATATGCGGGTATTAATAATCTTCCCCTACCTCCCTTTGCTGTTATGCACACTGCCTGGGCTCTAACACAGCCAGCTGGGGAGTTCACTGACGGTCATGCTCAGTTCCATGCAAAGCTTCAGCATATTCTGGCTGCAGTGCTCCCCAGGGGTTGTCTGGGGCTCAAGCAGATGCTCTAGACTACACTACCTGCATATCTGTTTTAGCTGTGGTGCTCCTCAGGGGTCTGGCACATGAGCTGTGCTCGCACGCGCACTCGACTGTGCATGGAAACCTACAGGCTTGTGTTATGTCTCAGGGGGTTCCAGATATCAGAGATGCTGTGACCAGCTTGGCATACGAGGGCATCTCTAGGGATCAAATTCACAATTTCACACTTATGAAGAGTCTCTCTTACCCAATGAGCCATCCACCCCTGGGAACCTTAAAAACATTCAGTGAATCCAAACTGGCTTCTTTATAATTTTGTAAATATTAGCTCTAGTATGACTAAGAATTTAGGGAAGATTTAAAATTCAGTATTGGTCTAGCTATGAACAAATTATTTTATCTTTTCATTTATAACAGAGTCTGTATCTGCTTGATAATCAACAGGTTGAGAAACTGAAATGTTCAGACTATTTTGTTGTTGCTTATTATTATTATTATTATTATTATTATTATTTTATTTTTTTTGGTGGGGGGCACTACCAGTGGTACTCAGGACTTATTCCTGGCTCTGTGCTAGGGAATCACTCCTGGGAAGATTGGGGAACCATCTGGGGTGTGCGGGTTCGAATCTGGGTCAGCTGCATGTAAGCCTTACCTGCTGTACTATCTCTCAGGCCCCCGAAATTTACAGACCTGAAGTTAAAGTTATTCGCTTTAATTTGTTCCCTTCATCATTTCAGACAGAGTCTCTGGACTTTCTCTAATTATGTACTATAAGGTGAGAGGCTCAGCATTTTGAACAAGGCATATTTTCTTTCTAGATATCATTAATGTTCTCAATAAGCAGAGTTTCTTTGCATCAATCTTGTACTGATTATAACAGCACTTAATCTGACTACCCCCCCCCCCAAATTTTAAAGTATAACTTATTCATGCTGAGGTTTCACATGTCAGTATATTTTAAATTTCAGAAATAAGGAAACATGGGCTTCATCTATACTACAAGATTAATTTCCTTTTTCCAAACCAATTATAAAAATGTTAGACAAAATGAGATTCAGCATCTATTACCTTTTATATAAAAGGGGCCCATTTGCCTCATACTTTTGTGGAACATATTTAAATAAATTAGCTGCATAATCAAAATAACCCGAGGTCCTGTGTATGCCCTTGTTTCTGAGCAATTTATAACATTATAGAAACTTACCCTTGTCTTTGGTTGGTAAGAGGAAGGAACACAGACATATTGGATTCACCATAAAGGGCTTTTAAAATGCCTAACTGTAAAATATGACTTTCTCTTTCAGCACAAATTTATTTATTGCTTTACACAGACTCATTTATTGCTTCTCACTGTCCTTCAGTGAGAAAATGTGTGTCCCTCAGACACACATTCCTGTCCTCCTCAAGAAGTCTCAGGTATTGACTTAGCAGTCGCACGCCGCTGTCCCCTTGTTCTCAGATATATCCGTCACCCAGGAAACTGTGGGGAAATCCATTTGTTTAGTAGTCCTGTTTTTTAATTACACAAGTAACCAAAGAAGCTCAAAGATGTTTAAGTCAAACTCCCAGGAACTCCGTAATCTACTAGTGTGCTGATGGCCACACAGAACACTTACTTATACTCATCATAGACTTCCTGCTTCGGTAGTGAAGTCTCAGGATGCTCCTCAAGCGTATTCCGAATCCAGGAAAAGGCATGCATTTGCTGTGCCCGGCTAGATGACATGGCATTCTGATCACTAATCAGAAAACAAAAACAAGTTTCAGCTGAACTCTGCAGTGATTCACGGCCTACCACATTTCATTAGTGCATTTTGTGTAAAAATATTCTAAAGGACCAAATCAAACTTAACACGTGGCAGATGTCCAATTACTTATCTACACACTGTCCAGCTGTGCCTGAGACATTTTTCTAGAGCTAGTGTCTGCCTAAAGTCACTTTCCTTGTCCATTCCTCCCCATGGTCTCTAAAGTGACAGAAGTGCACTGACAACACAAGGAATGCTAAAATTACCTACGCATGGTTATCTGCTAACTTCACTTGCCTATTCATTTGTTTAAACTTAGCAAATCAACAAGCTTTTGACACAAAAACTGGTGAAAAAAGTTTTTTTTTCCCTCTTTGCTTTTTGCATTCTCAAGTAATTACCTTAAAATATTATTCTATACTCTGGAATGAAATTCATACGAGGCTGGTCCCTTAAAGGACAAACTGCCCACTGCTGACTTCTCTGAAACTATTCACTTTCATGTCAAGTTCTCCAGTCAACATGGCGTGCTTCAATTAAGTTCATACGAGGTAGGCAGTACCTCTTCTGAACTTATCCCACGAAGAGAACACCCAATGTAACATGAGGAAAACTCCCTTCTGCTTCCAAAATTTATCTCTGTCAACTATAACTATAATTTATTTAATTCCAAAGAAGATACTGAGAAACTTTCTAGGACATAAAATTATTCAACTGTCATAAAATCTGAACCAGAGCTAAAGAGAGAGCACAGCAGGTAGGGCACTTAATTACAGGCAGGTGACCGGGGTCTGATCTCCAGCAGCACATGATTTCCCCAAACACCACCAGGAATGAATCCTGATCGCACAACCAAGAGCAAGCCCTGAGCATTGGTGGGTGTGACCCAAAAACCAAGACAGAAATCAGAACTGTAACAGGGAGGAAAAGTAACAGTACCATTTTTTTTTTCATTGTACTTCTTTTTGTAGAGAAATTGAAAGTAATACAATGCTGAAGTGGGTAAAAACTTTTAATAATATAATAATGTCCTCATAAGAGTTGAGACATTTTTATAGTAAATTTATTTTTCTAGAGGTGATTTTATTTTTCCTTTTGTTCCTTTTTGGGAGGGCTACACCCATGCTCAGCAATGCTTGAGGGGGACCATGTGGGGTGAGGACTGAACTGAACTGAATATTATCCAACTCTTTGAGTGATCACACTCCCTACTGCCTTGGCAATCTCACTTTTCTTCTTGTTCTGTATTCTAGGATCTATTCACCTGACCAGACCTTAATAAAACAAAAAGCCCTCTTGCACTTCAATGCTCGTAATACCTACCTTTCTGTTCAATTTTCACAATCCTTCACAATGCATTAATGTATCAATCTGTTTATAAAACACCATCCAAATTACATTTACCTCAGAATATAAATTAACAAAAACTGTGGATAAACAACCACATATTAGCAAAGGTTAAAAAGATCGACCGTTTTCCATCGATGATTTCGGGAGTGCTGTACACACACTCGTCACAGCCACAAAACAGGCACCACACACCCAAGCTGGTAAGGCTAGTTCAACAGCCCTTAGGGCCGGCTGAAGCACAGATACCTTTTCTCTCCATTGCTGAGACCAGAAGGCAGCTGAAGGTAGAGGTAGAGTTTCTCTAGGTCTGTAAACTTCTCAACTTCTTGCTGGTTATAAAGAATTGAAAGAAAATAAACAAACCATCATTTCAAGAACACTTTTCTTGTTTCTCCCAACAAAACCAAAGAGCAATACTTAAAAGTTTCTCATTTTCCTTCCCATTTTAAGAAGGAAGTGGTTCGCCATGGGATGGGGAGTAAAGAGACCAATCTCACCATTGTTCTGCATCTCCAGCATTTCACTGACCAGTGCACCTACTATGGCTGTCTTTCCCAGCCAAGTCTGGCACAGAATAGCTTTAACATGTGCCAAAAATCCAATTACAATAAGAGACATCCACAGTAAAGTTTGGGGGGAGAGGAGGGAGATGACTTGGTGGTAGAGGCCTGTCTTGCAGGCATGAGGACACTGATTCCTGTCACCACTGTCTGTGACTACCAGTGCCACAACCAACCGTGTGTGATCCTTGGTCACTGCAACCACAAAAGGAAGGGGGAAAGAAATATGCTAGTAAAATCTAGGTGGCAAATTTCACACTAAATTCCACTGCAGTTGGAAATGTGGATCGATTACAGGGGTTCCTGGTAGCAGAGCTCATTCTCACTAAACAGAAACTAAAAAACAGGTCTAATCAGGGAAAAAGAGAAGCTTAAAATGATATAACCTTGCCCATTCTTATTCTTATAGTGTTCATCCACAAAACTGGTTTAACCTTAGAATTCATCCACAACATGATTTCATCTATCAATCACATGCAAATAAATTCACATTTTTTCATTCCACTGTCTGTGGAGTATTTTCCAATGAGCTCTCACTTTTGCTTGTATTATAGGATAGATTTACCACCAATATCCTGTATAACTCATCAGGAACAAGATACAACACAGTGCCTTTCCCTTAACACCTTTTCTCTATTTCTCTGGTATCCAGTCTTGGGAGTTTGCCCATTTCTCTTCATTTGGTACAATCCACTTTAATTATTTATAGAATACTCTTAACTCTTTCCCTCCTCCCCCAACATTCTTTCAGTTTTCAAATTTTCATTGCCATCCCATTGGTGGCAATGCCTGTACCTGTTTTTCTTTCAACGATAAAGAATAAGTCACAACTCATTTATCTGCTTATTAAGCTTATTTTCCTGCTATGGAACTATGACCTTAGAGTTGTGCATTACAAGACATAAAAAGACTGGAAATACACAGATGAACAACAGAGCAACAATCTTTGTTCTTAAGGAATGAAGTTTCTAATCACCCAAGTTTCTTTGCCTCCAAATTCTCTCAAAGGCCTATCTCTCTCTAAGGCAGATCAACTTTGTCTTGAATATGATTCATAAAATACGTGTCAGTTAAATATATTAATGGCATCCATGTGATCCAAATAATGCCTATCATATTATATCCAAAGCTGATTATATCACCAAAGAAATAAAATCTCCAACATCAGTATGGTCAGAGTATGAAAAAATGTAACCTAAAATAAATATTTTTTATAATTACAAATATAAAACTTCAAAGTATTTAAAGCAATCTTGGATTCAGTTTAATTTTCAAATTTTACATGTACTAAAGAACACAGCGCAGATGAGATTCAGAAGAATGAATTCTCATAAACTGTGTAGTCAATTTAGCCCAGACGGTTGAGCTGAACGTGAAGACTTCTGATTTTGGGTGTACTGGGGTACTGCTAACCATGGCCTTCAAAAGCAGTGATCAGTGGTGCAGGAAACATTTTAAGCTTCAGATTAACAAGGCAAGAATACTATGTGGCAAGTCAGAGATTGACTACTTGATACACACCTCATGATTTAATGTGAAGAGCAAACTTTCTGTTCCGTGTTCATATTAATTGACTGTGTAGAGAAACATGTTTGCCTGGATTTATGAATGAAAGAAAGCGGCTCTATTTATAGAGCACTGAAGAACAAGTGTTTTAACTTTAAAAGGAGAAAATAAGTTTTTTTTATTATTAAGCCACAAAAACAAAGGGAGTATTGATACATGCACCAAAACATGGATGAATCATAAGCAAGCTAAATGAAAAAGCCAGGCAAAAGGTACTGCACTGCATTGTCCTCCCTTTGTTCATTGATTTGCTCGAGCGGGCCCAGTAATGTCTCCATTGTGAGTCTTGTTGTTACTATTTTTGGCACATCGAATACGCCATGGGGAACTTGCCAGGCTTTGCCGTGAGGGTGAGATACTCTCGGTAGTTTGCCAGGCTCTCCAAGAGGGGCGGAGGAATCAAACCTGGGTCGGTCACGTGCAAGGCAAATGCCCTAACTGCCGTGCTATCGCTCCAGCCCAGACAAAAGCTACACAGATCTATTTCTATGAAATCAGCACAGGGAAATTCGTGGTGAGAGATTAGGAGCTGACAGGGACTGTTATTAAGGGCATCATGAATATGGACTGCTAAATGGGTTTTTGTGGTGATGTTTGGAACTATATACTGTGACACTCCCTACCCATTTTCCATAATTACCACACCATGTTTGATGGAGTTCAGAGAGTAGGCAACAAATTATAGAGAGAAATATATATATCTATGTATATGTGTATGTATAATACACACACACACACACACACACACACACACACACACACACACCTCTTGGAGAGCCCGACAAGCTCCCTGTGGCATATTTGATACGCCAAAACTTGTAACTATAACAGGTCTCATTCCCCTGACCCTGAAAGAGCCTACAATTATTGGGAAAGACAAGTAAGGAGAGGCTGCTAAAATCTCTGGGCTGGGATGAATAGAGATGTTCCTGGCACCGGCTCGAGTAAATCGACGAACAATGGGAGGACAGTGATACAGTGGTACTAGGGTCGTCATACAACACAACTATTCAGTATATGTCAATCATGACGAGATCATCTGGTATCTGTTCTTCACCTGCTGACTTACTTGGCTTAACATGACGCCCCCCAGTCCCACCCACTTTGAACTGACCTCACAATTCACCTTTTCTTACTGCTGCACAGTATTCCATTGTGTGTACAGACCACAATTTCTTTATCTTTTCGGTCCTCAGACATTCAGGTTGCTTCTAGGCGTTTAGGCTATTGCTCTAAAGATCACAATGAACATAGGAATGCATATATCTTTTTGAATAACAATATTTCTATGTCTGGAATATAGATGCCAAGCACTAGATTAGGTGGGTCAGACGGGAATTCTATTTTTACTTTTCAGAGGAATTTCCATACTGGTTTCCAGAGGCTGAACCAGATGGCGTTCCCACCAACAGAGAATGAAGGTTCCTTTCTAATGCATCCCCCCAACATGAGTTACTTCTGCCCACTTTAAAACTGGGCTGTTATATATCCCGTAGAGGCAAAAAAGTATAGTCGAAATGACATCTGCACTTGTATGTTCATTGCAGCACTGTTCACAATAGCCAAAATGTGGAAAAAACCTGAGTTCTCAAGAACAGATGACTGGTTAAAGAAACTCTGGTACATCTACACTATGGAATACTAAGCAGTTGTTAGACAAGATGAAGTCATGAAATTTGCATATAAGTGGTACTACATGGAAAGTATCATGCTAAGTGAAATGAGTCAGAAAGAGAGGGGACAGGCAGAGAAAGACTGCACTTGTCTGTGGAATATAAAGTAACAGAATGGGAGACTAACACTCAAGAGTAGTAGAGATAAGGACCAGGAGGTCTGGTCCACGGCTTGGAAACTGGCCTCGTATGCTGGGAGAAAAAGCAGCTCAGATAGAGAAGGGAACACAAAGTAAAGGGTGTTTGGAAAATCCGCTGGGGGTGGGAGATGCATGCTGAAAGTAGACTACAGACCGAACACGATGGCCACTCAATACCTCTACTGCAAACCACAACACCCAAAGAGAGAGAGAGAGAGATAGCAAAAGGGAATGCTCTGCCACAGAGGTGGGGTGGGGTGAGGGGGATGGGGTGGGGGTGGTGGGAGGGATATTGGGATCAGTGGTGGTGGAGAATGGGCACTGGTGGAGGGATGGTTACTCGATCATTGTATAATTGAAATGCAAACACGAAAGTCTGTAAGTCTATAACTGTACCTTATGGTGTATCAGCAATTAAAAAAAAAACTAGGCTGTTCATTTTGTTGTTGTTGTTATCATTGAGTTCTGGAAGTTCTTTGCAGCTCAGCAGACAGCTCAAAGGACAGTTTTGCATGCACTGCATATGACAGACCCAGGTTTCATCCTGGCACCCAATGGTCCCCCCAGCTCTACAGGGAGCAACTCCCTCCCCTCTGCTCCAGCAAGCCTCTGAGCATGGCTGTTGTAGGCCCAAATCCCTCCCCTCATCCCATCACCACCACCAAAAAAGGGAGAAAGTTCTATATTTTTCTTTTAGAGGTTAACCCTTTGTTAGAATGTATGATGTTAAGCGACTGTGCATTTTAAGATAAGGATATTTATCATGTCTCTTTCCTTAATCCTCTTCAGGTTGTAAGTGCTGTTAATGTCTTCTCTGAGCTCCTCTCTCCCTCCCTCTCCCTCCCCTGCACCCAATCATCTTTTGTTACAGAAACAGTAGTTTTTAACATCTAGACACTCAAATATATCAATTTCTCTGGCACTCAAATATATCAATCTTTCAATACAACACTGCGTTTTGTTCTGAAATCCTTCCTTACCCCAATGTCATAAACAGATTAGCTTCTTCTTAAAGTTTTATATTTAGGCCTTTAGATCCTCCCTAATTAATTTTTCTGTAACATACAAAATAGAGAAGTAAAATCTTCCACACTTGTGGAAATTGTCGTGACATAATTTATTGATTCCTTCTGTTTTTTTATACCTTGTTATGGGATTATTGTTTATTACAGGTTAAACAGTGCCACTTCCACTTTCAGCATTTAAGAACCTCCTTCTCTCAGCTGGAACTTAGGGAAAAGAGGCAAGAATTTAGCCTTGAGAGAGTCATGCAGCAAAATGTATGTGGTTTCACTGGTCCTTCCTGAACTTTATCGGACACTTTTTTTTAAAATATGAAAGTATTATTTAACACAAAGCAGTTCTCAAAAAAGGTGAGAAAAATAATTCT